GGTAACTATGGCGACGCTACCTACCTCGCAGCAGAAGAGAAGGCCGAACGTGAAGCCAGCGAGACTCGTAACTATGGCGGCGGGAGCCAGCCAGACTGGTAACTATGGCGACGCTACCTACCTCGCAGCAGAGGAGAAGACCGAACGTGAAGCCAGCGAGACTGGTGGCGAGCACGACCCACGTCTTCTTGCCCCTGAGATTGGGAAACCGATCGAGTATCGCCGTGACAACCGTCTCCAGCAGCGCAAACTACAAACACATAAACATGCGCCGGCATTAATTAGGAATGAACGAACGCCCGTTCACCCGAGCTTTCCTCGTCTCTCATTCATTACAATACAGACGTTGTTATGACTGTTAGACAATAAAGATTTTGCTACGGTAACGGTGTTAGATATTAGATGATCAGATTAGACATGATTAGGCTACTAATACTATACGGGCAAGACCGCAATTTTTTCCCGCAAATGTTTGCTGACGAGATGAGAGTGCCACGCCTTCACCATATCCTACCCCCACACCCGCTCAGTGCCCCGCCCCCACCCTACCCTTACTCTGCTCTCACCCTGTCCTTACTCTGCTCTCACCCTGTCCTTACTCTGCCCTTACCCTTCCCCTACCCTACCCTTACCCTGCCGTTACCCTACCCTCACTCTGTCCTTACCCCACTTCTACCCTGCCCTCGCCACACACCTACCCTTCCCTTACCTGGCTGTCGAGTCCAAGCGTGATGAGCATGAAGAAGAATAGGAAGGCCCAGAGCGGTGATACGGGTAGACGGGTCACAACCTCCGGATACACGATGAACGCCAGGCCGGCGCCTGCGGGAGAGGAGGAGACATGTCGGTGAGTCACCACCGCCCCACAGCGAAGCGAACGCCGACGCGACACTAGTCTGCTACTACGTCTACTACATTCTGATTCACGGTCAATACTGTTTAAATTACAACATGTATGTAACAGGCCATGACGTTGGTGTAGTCCTAAGCAATGCCACGCCATAAACGCACGCCTGAAAAGAACTGTGTAACGCACGCCATGAAGAAGAGTCCTATAGCTGCTATATACACGTACAAGAATGCTTTACATTACAGCATATATGTAACACGCCATGAAGAGTTACTACAGCTATATCTTACATACATACACGCCCGCACTTACATGCTATTGGAGGTTAATAATGACCAATTCTGTCATTATTCACTCACCTGATGCTACCTTTGAACCGCGTTCAAACGATCACCTGTCTGTATTATGCAACACTCGTCATTCCAACAACCCCCTATTCACGCCCAACGACCTAGCCAATGCACAGATATTTCCCTCTTAAATTCTGCATTCAAAATCCTTTGTCATCATAGCTAGTGGGCAGAGAATGAAGGCTAGAAGGTCTGTAACACAGATGATTGAGCAGCCCATAACTACAGCCAAACAATGTGTCAGCGGTCGCCGCTACACGACTGTCCCCTGTCTATATAGAACTGTTTTGGCATCGTGACCTTTACACAGAGGTTTGAAGGTCAAACCACGCAGGTTTGAAGGTCAAACCACACAGGTTTGACTGCACACACGACTACGATATGCGCTAGCTAAACGGAGCACGCACCAACACTAACCCCGGCTTTTGGTGCCACCTACCCACTAACGCGGTGCTGCTCCTACAGATATGTGCAATTTACCGGGATGTACAATTCAGCACAGGATGTGCCCTCGACATGTGCGGAGAGTGATCGCGGGAAAAATTTCAACAGAACGCAAAACAACTACCGCACGCAAGCAGTCTCTGTGAGGATGGAAAGATTCTTTCGCTTACAGTAATGGTGGTTGCTCAAATCGCAGGTGTGCCCCGGGCTCCTAACGCTTTTACATGAAAGAGCAATAGTTCGTTATTTTCTGCCCTTCAGGGCACCAGAATGATACTTCAATCGAGAACAAAGCTGTTGTCTTTAAAATTATCTGCCTTGAAATCAAAACGACAGTCACGTATGCCTACGGTACAGTCGGAGCGACTTAAAAATAGTTTCGGTGGATCAGAGATCAAAGGAGATATCTGGTACTGAAAACCGACGTATAAATACGAGACAAGCTCACAAATAAATACCGTCTCCCACGCTCAACTCCGCCCTCTACCCTGCTCGACAGCCTATTCCGTGATGCCACGCACGCGGCACCCACAGAGCGACGTTGAGGAACCAAGTAACACTTGCTATTGCTATCAAATCGCGCGTAAAATCGACGCCCGAAAACTATTCCCGCTGTGAGATCCTATTTCGACAGAGATCGTCTGCATCACTCTGCCCTACCACCTGGTGGCGGGTGAGCACACACGTGGCCCGACAACGTGTGAAGAACATCAGGGGGGGGAGGTAACGTTAGGCGAACCCTCGCCACGTTTCACCCCACCCCTCGGTGACAGAGCAGCGGCGACACCACCCCTATGGGGTGTTATTAGTCATCGCACCTCGTGCAATTGACAGGGCCGCAGCCACGCTAGGGTGTGTCCAATGCTACAACGCGGGGATGACTGGCGGGTCCGTGCCTTGACCCTGCCTCACGACGCCTCGCGCGGTCTCGATCCCTGTATCGCGTTGTCTCGAACGAGTAGACAAGGTCGCCTCATGTCGTCTCGCGTCGTTCTGACCCCCCCACCCCACCCCCCGCAGCCTCACATCGTCGTCTCGAACGAGTACACGCGTCCGAACGACGGGTTGCTGAAGTTGTTCGTCGACGAGTTCTTGAGCAGGTCGATGGCGGCCGTCGACGACTCGGACGCGGCGGCGTTGTTGCGCGTGCGATACATCGCTTGCCGCTTGTGCGCTGGTCCCCAGTCCGCAGCCGGCCGCAGCAACGTCAGCACCTTCTGCAAGGTCGAGACAGAGGACAAATGTTTAGCAGGTGGGTGGGTGGTGGGGGTCGAGCTGATATATATATATATAATGTACTCCACAGTCTGCAGATCACTTCCACATTTTGGAAGACAGAGGGCAAATGTTTAGGAGGTGAGTGGGTGGTGGGGTCAAGCTGATATATATGTGTGTGTGTGTGTGTGTGCGTCTGTGTATGCGTGTGCGTGTGTGTGCGTGTGCGTGTGCGTGTGC